TTGTAACTTCATAATTTACACGATTCAATTTTTTTTTTTTTGCTTTTTGGGTCACACCTGGCTATGCACAGGGGTTGCTCCTGGCTCTGCACTCAGAAACTACTCCTGGCTCAGGGAACCATATGGGATGCTGGGAATCGAACCCGGGTTGGCCGCGTGCAAGGCAAACGTCCTACCCACTGTGCTATCACTCCAGCCCCATACACAATTCAATTTTTTAAAGAAGTTTAGGGGCTGGAGCAATAATAAAGTGAATAGGGCGTTTGCCTTGCACACAGTCAACACTGATTCTATCCCCAGCACCTGACTGAGCCCACCAGAAGTGATCCCTGAGCATAGAACCAGAAATAAGCCTGAGCACAGCCAAGTGTGGCCCCAAAAACACAAAACAAAAATCAAAAAAGTAACACCAACTGAATTCACATTTCATTGAAACACAGAAATTTCCAATCACCCTGAAAGTTCTCTAATGTCTCTTTTAAGTCAATCTTTGCCAAAGCAACCACTTCTGATTTCTACCACCAAGGATTTATAAAGTAGCTTATTTAATTTCATATAAGTGAGTATATGATACAAGATATAAGATATAAGATACAAGTATATGAGACAAGACGTAATCTCTTATATATGACAATAGGTCAATCTATTTCATCAATTCAGTCTTGTTGCCTCTCAAAAATTTTATTAACTTTTTACAAAGTTCTTTAAATATATTTGTTATTGATATTTAATGTGCTGAAGTGATAGCACAGCAGGTAGGGTGTTTGCCTTGCATGTGGCCAACTCAGGTTCAATTCCTCAGCCCCTCTTGGAGAGCCCGGCAAGCTAACAAGAGTATCTCGCCCGCACAGTAAAGCCTGGCAAGCTCCCCGTGACGTATTTGATATGCCAAAAACAGTACCAACAAGTCTCACAATTTGTTGTGAGACATTACTAGTGCCCGCTCAATAAAATCGATGAACAAAGGGAGGGCAGTGCTACAGTGCTACAGTGCAAATCATTAGTTTACAGCTAACTAAGTTTTCAAAGAGTACACACGTTTGTCTATTGCTCTAAGTAAAACATTAGCAATAACCCACAAGTCACTGGAGGCTCTTTCAGCCACTAACACACATGCCCTTTTCCTCATTCTGTGCCTGTACCATATTCCTTCAGACCCACCAAATCTTAGCTTGCTTTTCTTGTCTATACATGCACATACAAGCTGAATGTGCCACAGATAGGAAAAGTAATAAGCACTGCTACAAACAGTACCAAAGATACAACACACTTTTGCTAAATGAAGCTAGATCTAAGTCTATCTAATGCCATTTTTTTTAATTTTTATTAGTGAGACACCATGAGGTACAGTTGTAAACTTACAAATTTTGTTATCTAATGCAATTTTGACAAATATATCCAGATGTTAGTTTTGCCCTGTCTGCACTTTGCATACCTAGAACAAGAACAGCATGAACTCTTCCATCTTGCTTCTTCTGTCTAGAGTATAAGACTCTTCTGCATTGATCTCTGCAGAAAACTTCATTTTCATCTATGTATTATATTCAATTTATGAATATCCCATAATTCATTTATTCTATCACTGACATTTTGTTCCTTTCCAGTTTGTAGTAATCTGAACGAAGCTTCTCTAACATTTTTCTCTCATGATTCATCTTTTTATTGATAACAAATATTTGAATTCCAAATCAAAAGGCTTTTAAGACTTTATACAAAAGTTATCTCCATTTAACTCAACTTCTAACTAATCTTGCAAGTTTTTTCCAATTTTTTAATTAAATACCATGATTTACAATACTGCTAATAATTGTTTTATTGTATACAATGTTCCAACACCACACCCCACCAGAATTTCAACTTATCTCCACCAATGGCCCAAGTTCCCCTCCAATTCACTTCCTGCCTCTCCTCTGGTAAGCTCAGATCTGTAGACCAGTTCTCATGTTCTTATTAGCCTTTGGCCTTTTTGTTCCCTTATTATGTTTCTTCAGGTCCCACATATGAGAGAGATCATCAGTCCCTCTCCTTCTGACTGGCTACACTCAGTATGAAGTTGACCATTTAGTTCCATCCACACAGCAGCAGAATGTATTATTTCATCTTACTATTTTTGATATGAGTCATTCTCACTAGTGTGAAATGATATCTCCTTATCATCTTGATTTAGATTTCCCTAATGCTAAGTGAAGATGAACATTTTTTCATATGCCTATTGGTCACCCACCTATCTTCCTCTGAGAAGTGTCTATTTACTTCCTATTTTTTGATAAGGCCTGGGAAATTTTTTTATCTTTGTGAATACCTTATATGTCCTGGATATCAACCCTTTATCTGATGAATGTAAATATTATTTCCCATTCAGCTAGTTGTCTTTCAGTTTTAGCCCTTGTTTCTTTTGCATGCAGAAACTCTTTAATTTGATATAGCCCCATTTGTTTATATTTGATTTTGTTCTCTTTACCAGTGATATCAGATCACTGAAGACACCTTTGAGATCAAAATCTCAAAGCGCTCTACCTATATTTTCCTCAAAGTACTTTACAGTTTCTGATCAGATCTCAAAGTCTTTGGTCCATTTTGAATTTACTTTTGTGTAAGGTGTGAGATATGGATCTAGCTTTAATTTCTTACACATAGTTATCCAGTTTTCCCAGCAACATTTGTTGAAGAGGCTATATTTATTCCATTTCATGTTCTCAGCTCCTTTGTCAAAAATAAACTGTCCATATATGTGTTGTTTTTGTCCTTGGGTATTTGATTCTGACCCATTGATCAAATAGCCTATCATTATTCCAGTACTACGCAGTTTTGATTACCATAGATTTATAATGCACTGTAGCACTGTCATCCCATTGTTTATTGATTTGCTCGAGCAGGCACCAGTAACGTCTCCATTCGTCTCTGTCGCATGCTAGTGTAGCCCAATGGCATCTGCAGGCTCCACGAACACAAAGTGAGACTTCTTGTTACTGTTTTTGGCATATCAAATGGTAGCTTGCCAGGCTCTGCCATGAGGGCGGGATACTCTTGGTAGCTTGCTGGGCTATCCAAGAGGGAGATCCGTATCTCACACCTTACACAAAAGTCAATTCAAAATTGAGAGGGACGGAGGAATAGAACCCATGTCGGCCGCATGCAAGGCAACGCCCTACCCACTGTGCGATGAGATACCTCCCAATTTCTTATTTTTCAATATGGATTTGGCTATTTGTAGTCCCTTCTGATTCCATAAAAACCTTTCTTAGGTCTGTAAAAAATGTCAACTAAATTTGGATGGGGATTGCATTGAATCTACATAATAGCTTAGGTAAGATAAGTTATTTTAACAATATTGATTCTTCCAATCCAAAGTATGGAATATTTTATCCTTTTCTTTTTTTCTTGAGTGACTTAAAATTACCATAGTACTTGGGAGGGAAAGGGTGTCGCTCCTTTCTGCCTCTCCCCCCCACTCTTTGGCAGCAAGGTGGCTGCCACCTCAGAGCTTATTGGAAAGCCAGGTATGAGCCAGCAGTGACGGGGCAACTGCAGTCTCATGGGAAGGAAGGCGGTACCAGCTCGTTCTTCACACCCTACCGAGGTCACGAGTTGCCCCCCACAAGCGGCTCTCTAGCACGGCCATAACATCAGACGCACAGAAACCAATCTCATAATTATCTGGCTCTTGGCAGAAATCCCTCCAGACTTACCTAGTAAAATATCAAAAATCCAACAGCATGGCCGCTATTGTGGCTGCATGACATCATATGGTTCTCATAACCAGCTATAGAAAACAAATTATTTCACAATGTCTTTTCAGCAGTTCTGATTGTTGGGGGGAAATTCTAAACAATAATGGTGCATCTTTTGTTGAAATAATGAATGTAATCAAAGTAGAGAGAGAGTTAAGTAGAAATCATCTGCCTCACAGGCATTGGGAGGGTTGGGACTGGGGTATATTGGGGTTCTTGGTGGTGAAAAATAAGTACTGAAGGGAAAGGTGTTTGATCATTGTATGACCAAGACTTAATCTTGAAAGCTTTGTAACTTTTCCCACAGTCATTCAATAAATAAATATAACAAAAAAATTACCATAGTATAATCTTCTGGATATTTTGCTAAGCTGATTCCTAGATATTTGATGTTTTGGGATACTGCTTTAAACAGGATAGATTCCTTGACTGCTTTTTCCTCTTATTTATTCGTTGTATATAAGAATGAGACCAGTTTTTGTATATTCACTTTGTAGCCACTACTTTGCTGCACTGGTTTATTGTTTCTAGGAGCTTTTTAAGGAATTCTTTAGGGTCCTCTACATATATTATTATGTCATCTGCAAATAGTGATAATTTGTCTTCTTTTCCAACTTGGATCTCTCTGAATTTTCTTGCCTGACTGTACTACAGCCAGGACAACTAATACTACATTGAATAAAGGGGAGACAGTGGTTATCCTTGCCTTATTCTTGATCTCAGTGGGAATGCATTCAGTTTTTCACCATTCAGAATGATACTGACATTGGACTTGTTATAGATGACCATTACTATCTTAAGGAAGGTTCCTTCCATTCCCATTTTATTGAGGATGTTCTATGTCAACTATATGTAATAGAGCAGAAATCCTCTTATAAGCACCCAAACAGGACCAATAGTCAAGTGAAACTTCATTTGAGCATACTGAATATCTCATTTTCATTTTGACAGACCATGTTCATCAAAGTACATAGAAATATATAAATGAACTAATTATAGTAAATGCACAGTTAAGTCTACGTACATTGTCTATTTGTTTGTAAGACAAAAACATTTGACATAGAATATAAAATTCAAATTCTGAGAGCCAACAATTAGTTATTTATTACTAGAGTTATAACTTTATGCTGAACATAAACCAGTTTTTATAAAAGTATATCATAATACAATTATGGCTTCAAAGTGATTCTTAAAATCTGTTACAAAAGATTGTATGTTTGTGTGTATAGATATACATATATTTATATAATACTGACTGAAATTACTCACCTTCACATTTTTCAAGAATCTGGACTGTTTCTCCTATTTCTAAAATTAACCCTTGGGGGACAGATCCTCGAAAGCTGCATATCACTGAAAAAAATAAAAGAAACAAGTAAATTAGCACTTTTAAGTACTGAGTCAGGGAATTACTGAAATTAAACATAACTTTGGAGGGAGACACCACACCAGTTGGTGCTCAGGAACTACTCCAAGCTTGGCACTTAGAGATCACTCCAAATGGTGGCTGGGAGACCATGTAGAACTGGAAATAAAATCATGAACTCCCATGTGTAAAGCATGTAGTCCTGCCCTTTATGCCACCCACTCCGTTGGTAATATTTTTTTCCTTCTCCTTTTTGCAATGCTAGGGATAGAATCCAAAGCATCACACTTGCAAGACAAGTGCTACCACTGAGTTACATCCAAGTCCACCCCATCCCCATTTTTTTATAAAAGGCAGGGGCTTCACCCTCAGTACTGCATATTCTCCCAAACACCACCAGGAGCAACTTCCAAGCATAAATCCAGTAGTCCCTGAGCACCACTGGGTGAGGGTCCCTCTCACACACACACACACACACACACACACACACACACACACACACACACAATGAGCTGGAGTAATAGTGCAGTGAATAGGGCTGCACAGACTTTGTGCCTTGCACAAAGTCACCCCGGGGGGTCCCAAGTATGCCAGGAGTGATCCCTGAGCATAGAGTTAGGTGGGTGTGGCAAAAAAAATCCAAAAAAATTAAACTTAAAAATATATCTGTCCAGGAGTCAGGTTGAGGGTTGGAGAGAACCTGCGGCCACAGGTGGAAGAATGGTCACAGTGTGATGGGATTGGAGGTGGGAACATTATATGTCTGAAAACTTTGTTGTCTCAAAGTTGTCAACTTTGTAAATCATGCTGTCTAATTTTTTAAGGTTAAAAAAATTGTTTTAATAAAAATTAAAAGGAGAAAAGGAACTTGATATTCTTTGGCAGCAAAAGATAGAGTGCAGAGATGCAGCTTGATCTGAGTTCCAACAGAGAAAATTACTAGAAATGGGGTCCATCTGAAAAATTATCTCTACAGTGGTAGTGATAATAGCAGCAGAAAGATGGGTTTCTGTTGTCTCCTCTAACTGCACTGGAAGTTTCCATGCCTAGATGAGGCATGCCCATGAAGTACATTACTAAGATCTCTAAATATTGACACTTGTTTAACCAAGCCTGGTAACTCAGCTCTGCCCAGCCTACCATGGTGGACTGAACAAATAGCAGTAGAACAAACTTCAGAATAGAAGAGTATTCAAGTATGATATTTTTTAAAAGGTGAAAATATACCAGTGATATGCCTTAGTTCATGAGGAGTAAACATATATTCAAAGAGACCAATTCAAGTCTGAAGTTGCTGAACAAGTTGAGACAACACTAAATAACTCAGTATAATCTGAAGTAAAATAAATAGAATCAGAAGTGGAATAAGTACAATCTAAATGAAATGAGTACAGCCTGAATAAGTACAACACTAAATAACTCAGTACAATCTGAGGTAGAATAAGTACAGTCTAAAGTGGAATCACACCACTAACATGTGTGATTAATCGTGGTAAAATGATAGAAAAAGTATAGATGAAAAGGTGAAAGAAAAAAGTATAGATGGATAAATTTACAAAAAATTATAAAGACAATGCTTAAATCTATGGCTATTCATTGTATTATTCATCAGCAAGTACTTGGCTGAAATTTCATGAATAATCATGTGTTACTCTACCATTAATAACAATTTTATTTGTTCTCACAGATTTTCCCATCAGTCTTCACTTTTCATTAATTTCTATGAGAAACAAAAAACTATCCTGACTTGCTCAATACACAGCAGCAAGATAGCTTGAGTAGTGTTACACATTAGTGAAATTTTATTTAGCAAGCATAATGCTATGGCTGAAATCTCCCTGAATGAAAACTTCACTCAACCACTGTAATCAAATAATAAATACTTTAGAAATTAGCTTTTTTGACTGGAGCAATAGCACAGCGGTAGAGCGTTTGCCTTGCACACGGCTGACCCAACCAACCTGGGTTCAATTCCTCTGCCCCTCTTGGGAGAGCCCAGCAAGCTACTGAGAGTATCTCACCTGCACGGCAAGGTCTGGCAAGCTACTCATGACGTATTGGACACGGCAAACACAGTAACAACAAGTCTCACAATGGAGACATTACTGGGCCCACTCAAGCAAATCGATGAACACCGGGGGGACCGTGACAGTGACAGTAATTGATGATCTTCTTTATAAAATTTAGTGTCATGCTTACACATGAAACAACCTATAGTGAAGTCATTTCAAGAACCTCTTCAATTACAATCCTCAAACAGCTTTATACATTTCCATACTATCAAAGTAGACTGTCCAGTGTAACTCAAATTGGCAGCACTAACATTTTGGGGCTCACCATTTGGTTGCTTGATATTTTTGTTCATATTTGGAGCCACATCCAGAGGCACTTAGGGCTTAATTCTGGCTCTGAGCTCAAGGATCACTCCTAGCATACTCAGAGGACCATATGGTATGTCAGCAATCAAACGCAGGTCAGTCGCATGACAGGCATGAGCCCTACCCTCTGTGATCACATGAGTTGTTTAAGCCTTGATGTAATTGCCAAATTTTAAAAAATCCATATTTTAAATGCATGCATGAAATCTGGATTCCAAATCTGGCCCCACATTTGAAAACAGTCAGATTTGAAGCCAGAGAAAAAGTCCAAGGGTTAAGGTGTTTGTCCAATATATGGTCAACCCTGGATCAATCACCAATACTGCATATGATCCCCTGAGCAATGCCAGGTGTGGTCCCTAAAAAATCCAAAAGTCCCATTTCAAGACCCATTTGACAATGTAAGAAACTTTCACCTAATCATCAATATAAGTACTTTACTCTGCAATCAATAAGCTTCTTTTGGAAACTTTCAGGGTAGAAGTGGGACCTAGAAACACAGAATTCCAGAGAGTGGTTATTTCCACTTGTCTACTCTCGCCAACCTGAACTGCCTTTAGAATCTGGTAATCCAGCTCTAGAAAGTGGTTAAAATAATAACATTAAATGAAAAACATTGAGGACATATATGTATATTCAATTTTTATCTATATTTTTCACTTGAAACAATATTGTGACTATCTATATCTTCAATAATTTATTCTGCATAAATATTTTAACAGTGTAAAAAAATAAAGAAATGCTAATAAACTTCATAATTACCATGACTATGACAAAAATTCCTAAATTAAAATATTTTTCCATAGCCTGACATCAGTTCTTAGCAATAACTGTCTGAAAGTATTTATAAGGAGGAAGTATATAAAAACTCATTACAAGTCATTAACAAATAAATATTTGCAAATGATCATTGGGAACATTAACTTTGGATACCAATGAAACTAAAAGATAACCTAAAATGTTCTATTCTTCTCATTAAATGTATATTACCAGGGCTGGAGAGACAGTACAGAGGCACTTACCACGCACATGGCAACCCAGATTTGATAATCCAGCATTCCATGTGATCCCCCAATCCCTATCAGAAGTAATCCCTGACTGCAGAGCCAGGAGCAAGTCATAAGTACCAAGTGTGCCACCCCAAAAAAGTAGTATCACTGTATCACTGTTATCACTGTCATCCCGTTGTTTGTCAATTTACTCGAGCGGGCACCAGTAACATCTCTATTCGTCCCAGCCCTGAGATTTTAGCAGCCTCTCCTTACTCGTCTTTCCCAACGATTGGAGGCTCTTTCAGGGTCAGGGGAATGAGACCCGTTATAGTTACTGGTTTTGGCATATCAAATACAACACGGGTAGCTTGCCACACTCTGGCCTTGCAGGCGGGCGGGATATTCTCAGTAGCTCTCAGTAGTTTGCAGGGCACTCTGATATATATATATATATATGTATGTATGTATATACGTATACATATATATGCATATACATATACACACACACATACATGTATTTCTCTCTATGATCTGTTGCCTATTGTCTGAACTCCATCAAACATGGTGTGGTAATAATGGACAATGGGTAGGAAGTGTCCATGGCCACGCAGTCCAGAAAGTGGCCTGGAATGTGGCGGTGGCTGGGTAGTGGAGTTTGGCTGCTGGGGCTGGGTCCCTTGGGGTTTGGAGGGCTCTCACCCACCCCCCTCTGGGGCTCCCCGAGTGGAAACAGCCTGGTGCGGAGTCTAAGCAGTATATTGCAAAAATAATTATAATTATATTTTAAATTTCATCAATATGTGGTAATTTTCTTTCTCCTTTATATTAGTTCCTATATAATATCAAATTTTCATCTTGCCTCAAAAGTTTAAATATTACCTGATTCTTAAAATAGTTACTGATTCCCAATCAAAGCAAAAGTGGTACCAATATGAAATTATTTACAGTATTTGAAAATTAAACTGTGTGACAGAAGTATTGCACCAAATCTGAAAGAAATTTAAAATTATAATTATAAATTTTATAAGTAAAATTATAATTATAAACTTTATAAATAGAATTATAAATTTTATAAATTAATTTAAATTTATGTCATTTCTCCAGAAGGGAATTAGTTGTTAATATTTTTTCACTGACTTCCTCTATAAACATTGAGTTTATTACCTCTTTACAAGTATACTTTAAAACTACATAACACTTTTCTCATTAATCAAAAAGACTTCTATAAATTATACCTTCCATTTGACAGCTTCCCTATGAAATGAGAAAGAAAAGCTAAAAGAGCATTATGTGCACTTGAGTTTATTTCAAACCATTAAGTTATCAAGAATGAGCATTTATGTTCACTACAACTACTATGCGTGTAATTAATTGATGCTATTTTGTTATAGCAATAATCTCAAAATTATTATGACTTTTATTTAACATTTACAAAAACATAATGCCTATACATGCATGCACTACAACCGCTTTTGAAAAAACTCAAATATTTTTAATCCCCCTATAGCTATCATGTTACAAGACCAAAGACACAGGGAAAAGTTACCACATGGGCTTTTTCCTTAAAAATAGTTTTAATGCATTTCGGTTGGGCATTATCTTTTGCTCAGATTTTCC